CACGCAGTCGGGAAGGTTTGTTCAAGCATCGGGCTATTAAGCAACCAAACCGGATAGTAGAGCAAAACATTACGTACACAACGCGGGCCCGAGAGCTGTTTTATCAGGTGCTGACCTAATTCAACGGATGCATCTTTATGGATGTCAAATTGGACTTCAAACAGCTTCCGGGACAGATGTTTTATGCTGCAAGGGGTCGCGGAGATGTTCCCAAGAAATATAAATTTGTTTTTGCGGACAAGTTTTCCAGTAATCTGATGGTCTGGCAGCTGTGGTCAGTAGACGCCCATCACAACGAACAATATGAACGGACAGTAGACCAAATTGGGCCCTGATTAGCCTCCCAAAATTTGAACTGATTTAGTGAAAAACTGACTTGGCACAAACAATTTGAAGCTTAGATGAGAATTACTATGGAGAAACCATAATTTCGGTTCATATCTATCTACAAATTCACCAATTCACTCTACTTTAGAAAATAATAGCTGCGCTTGTTGTTCTCAGCTTCAATTTTGTTGAATTCCACTTTTCGATCAAATGTTAGGAACAAAAGTTATTAATGATTCAAGTCATTGATGTCCTATAATTATGCTCAATCAACTGTTCAGTAGGCAACATTGCTGTTTATGGCGCGTAGAATAGAGGACAAAAACCATGGCTACTATGTCACACTGCAGAATACAGTGTTGCCCACAATACAGTTGCTTAATCTTGCCATAAGAGTATCAATCTCTTAAACAATCAACAACTATTTAATTTGACGTTTGGCGGAATTACGATTTTCTGTAAAGTTGTAGCTGATAAAAATTCCCATAAGAATAGCAAATTGTTAACAGTACAATATGTAAAAAGGCCAGAAGACAATGAACAAAACTTTTGTTTTCCCATAGTAATTTCCATATAATCTTCAAATGGTTTGTGCCAAATCAGTTTCTTATTAAATGAGTTTAAACTTTCGGAGGCTAATCAGGACCCGATTTGAAACCGTTTGAACACTGTGGAGCGAAAATTTATAATTTTGAATCAGTCTAACGGACAGTTAAACATCAACGAATGCCTGAAAAAACGTGTATTGCCGTTCATTACTTCCCATCGGGGCCCGTCAAGCTTTGGCCAGTAATAATGCGCAACAGTGGTATCGTGATAATGGAGTAGACGTCATTGAGAAAGGGTTGAAATGTATTGGGGTATCATCAAAGCTAAACTGAAGAAGAGGGGAATAATGGCTAAGGATACGATTTTAATGGCCAGATACTGGTCCATCAACATGATGCACCCGTTATTGAAAAAATTTAGAACTTGTTGTGAAAGGCCAGCTGTTGGAGTATTTAAACAGTAATAGTTTGTTGATACCAGAACAATCGATGTATCGGGAAGGTCATTCTTGTGAAAACGCGTTGAATTTGGTATTAGCGAAGAGGAAAAATAACTTGGAGTGTAAAAATACGATTGTTGCTGTTTTTTTTTGATCTTAAACGCACTTTTTTCACAATTTCCAGGCCCCTGATTGTTAAGATCAATGAAGCGCTTTGGAATTACGAGTGCTGCATATAAATGGTTTGAAAGCTATTTGTCTGACAGAACTCAACGGACTGTTTTTAATGATTCTGTTTCTAGTCCCGTGGGGAATAGCCTTGGAGTGCCCCAGGAAAGTGTACAAGGACCCCTGTCATTTAATATATATTAATATATATAATATATTAATATATTAATATATATTAATGACTTGCGACGTGTTTTCGATTTTGTGACATTAATATGTGTTATTCATTGCAGATAAGGATTTAGATGATGCCGTTTTACACTTGAATGAACATAGTTCAACTCTCAAATTGACAATGTCATCAAGAAAATTGGTATTCTATGTCGACTGAAAAACGATTTAACTATTGCCAGTAAAATACAGCTATACAAATCAATCATTTCTCCTCATCTAGACTTTTGCCCTTCCATTTTATTTCTGGTCAATGCAACACAAATATCGAGATTACAGCGCTTGCAGAATAAAATAATGCGTTTGATTTTTAGATGTAATAGATTCACTTCCTCAACTTTGATTCTAGACGCCTTACAATGGTTGTCGGTGAAGCAAAGAATTGTATATTTGACTATGGTGTTCATTTTTATAGTAGTTAACGGTTTGCTGCCTCGATATTTGTGTGATCGAATTAAGGAAAAGAGAAAGTGACTTCCATAGATATAATACTAGAAACGTGGTTGAAATAAGAACACCACATTTCTTAACTTATGCTTCAAAAAAATTATTATATTTTAAAGGGATAAATATTTTCAATTCGATGTCTTGACATATTAAACGTTCAGCAACACTTACAGTATTTAAAATGCACTGCATTTCACACGTTAAATCTGTCTTTTGAACGGTTATCCGGTGATTTTTTTTTTATGAATTGACAAATTATGTATCTTGACGAAGTTATTTTTAACGGATTATTTTGTATGGATAGCTGTCATAATGACTTTTTAATAATTATTGTAGTACTGTAAAAACTTCTTTTGTTCGCCACGATGGTGATGATGGATTTTTAATATTTGATTAATTAGTAGTAGATTAATTAAAAAAAAAAAAGTAGTGTGCTATAACGGTTTGAGCCTCGCGCGCGTTTTACGGGTATAGAGGACTGAATTTATTTATTTATTTTTTTATTTATTTTTTTTTATTATAGTCACTTTAACGCTCTTGGGTCATTCGTGACTTGTCCGGGGGTGAGATTTGAACTGGTGACTTTGGCGTGAGAGGTATGGATGCTAACCACTACGCCAGGGTCGCCACCAGGACTGAATTTAACATTTGATAAAAAAAATGCACTTTTGAAGCTTATTTGGAAGATACCTTTAGTAGTTAGTAGTAAGATTTCTGGAAAATGTTGGGGGCTCGTGAGCATTCCTGACATTGCTAAACATTATGATAGTATCAGATTGCGGGGTTGCTAGTGTAATAGGATGCTTTGTTGATTGTTCATTAACTCTTGATTGCTTGTAATACTGATGAATATTTTAGGTGGAAAAAAAAGGCGGACAGGTGGACGCCTGAGTTGTTCCACATTTATATCGCTGTCAACCAACTGTAAACTCTAGAGGGATTTTATAGCTGTAACCGAAACCAGTTCGATTTTGTTTGCTAACCTGGTTAAAATGTCATATTTAATTATCTTAAAGATAAATCGTTCAGCTCAAACCTTTGTAAGGGTAGGAGGTGGGACCATCATCATTAAAAAATAAAATAGAAAAGCAGCCGGTGAGGTTGACCAGCAGCTTGTGCAGAAGTTCATGGCACGTATCAAGCCCAAAGTTTGAATTTTCATTCGAAAGGAATACACATTTCCAAACCCATATTGTATCTTCAAACTACAATAAATACATAACATTTTCTTCTGATAACGTTTTATTCTAAACCAAACAGATCCTGAGATACATCCGATTGAAGGCGTACAGATTCTAAATTGACAGGGCATTACCTAAAAATGGAATTTCTTGGAGTACAATGCACCAAGTATGCTGTATACTTTTTCGAAGGGACGTATTTGCCTTTGTACACAAAGATTTAAACGTAAATTATTAAAATCTTTCAGCAGTCCGATGTGAACTAACAACATTATCCATTCTGATGGTGGTGATAATTTGCGTGGGAGTGCTAAGAGTTTCAACAAATTGACGGTTGAATCTTTGTTTACAAAAGCAGATAGGTTCCTTTGAAAAACTAATTGAGAAGTGATGATTTAGGAATTCAGGAACAAACAAACTGCTCATAGTCAGTGTTGTTAACAATCCTTAGATCTGTTCACGAAAAAAGTGGACACCATCTTTGAACTTTATTAATACAACGTCAAATCAGGGAAATGCATTTGCAGTCTGGTTAATCGCGAAAGAGAAAATCGATGATGACAATCGATCAACAATGATAGGCCCTTTTCTCGTGTTGTGCAAGGTATGATTTGCTGAGTTGAGGAATATTAGTAATACTCTGGTGAGAAACAGGTTAGGATAAATCTGCACACCTACGGTAGGGAGAGAGAGAGAGAGAGAGAGTTTATTGAACGTTCAGCCTCGGGCTGGTTCGTCTCAGACTAGACCCTGATACTTGTATTGACTCCCGCAATTATTCGAAGGTAAGTAGCAAACTATTGACCAACAGATGGCTTTGTGATATCCACAGTAAAAGTGTTCCTCTCCGATCACTATATCATCTTCAATAGTATTTATTAATCTTCATCTTTCTTGTTCCTCTCTACAAGTTTGTCTGCAGTTGTATATAATTGAATTGGTTTTTCCTATTTCATCTCGTTAAATTTGTTCATTTCTTGCTCATATTTACAAATTGTGCAGTGCTGTTTAAATTTGTCTGTTACTTTCAATTTTAAATAACTTTTTTTTTTCTCTACTCGACAAATAATGAGTTGATCACTTGTTGGTGAGACATTCGCATTCACATCTGGAAAACCCGTCTTCCTCAACAGCTTGTCAACATGCTCCTTCACTTTGCATTTCTCTTTGGTTTACTTTGTAAATGACTAACTTTCGTTTACCACTCTGCTCTAGTGGGAGTTTTACTTTTAATTTGATCCTACAAACCCAAAAAACTAGGAAAATCTGTTGCCTAAAACTTAACTTGTCGAGAAGAGCTGCTCTTTCACTTTTTGTTGTCATGCTCTTCATACGCTCGTCAACCAACAAAACTTCTGAAACGAAGCTAGCGAACCTCTCCCCATGCATCTCCCGATTGCAGCCCTTCTCTCGAACATTTTGTGTCGATTTTCATCGGAGTGCACTTTAAAGTTTGTGTCTGAATCCGTTAATTGGAGTGTTGGGTGTGTTTTTGGTTGTGTGTGTTTTTTTTTTGATTCATTGGACGAAAAAACTATCGAGGAGAGGGAGGAAAATGAAGGCATGCTTGCTTTTGGTTGCATAGTATTTCGCTAAAACTTAACCTTAAGGATTTCACTTGGCTACACGGCCGCTACGCAAATGTTTGAACGAGTACGGCCACTCCATTCCGAAGAAAGCACGTCTCAGTCGTAATATTTTTGGCCGTACAGTCGGCAGTAAATGGTGAAGGCGAGAATAATCAGCGTACTTAGGACAACGCCAGCTACCACCATCTGGATGACGGGAAACTGGAAGCACTCGACCACGTCCGGGTAGTCACCCGTATTGGGAATGTATTTTGTCCGGCACAGTTCCGGTGCTTCATCGGTCAGGTATGGTATATTCAATAGGAATTCTTTATCGAACAATCCAGCACGGATGTAGTTTTCTTCGATGTATTCATAGTTTTTATCGATATTGCTCTCAACTACTCGGAGGCCCGTTACATTTGGGCAATTTAGAACTCCGTTGCAAAGTAGGTACTCTGGAATGCATACGTGTTGATCTCCGGGACAGTAGAAGTCACAGCTATCCTTGAACATGGACGACGTTGCCAGTGTTCCGTCGGCGTTTCTCGGCAGGTGGAATAGCTCAGTCCATACAAACTTAAAAGCATTTTTACCAATGGCGCTATCTCCGGTGTACTGGATTAACACTGGCAGTGGCTCGTTTTCATTTTCTACCGCTCCCAACTCCGCTGCTGAGAGAATAGGTAAATCACGAGCAAGGCTGACATTTTCCGGACAGATGATGAACCTAGGTTCCAGTCTTCCAGCGAGATAAACTTCGATTCTACCATGATCGCAACTTTTTTCGGAAAACCGAGCCTTATCAAGGTGCAGCCACAAGTCTCTCTGAGCAGCCACTTTCAGTTCCCAAATACATTTCTCACGTCTGTTCTCATTCAATTGAATGCCCAAAGCGTTCTTATAAGGGAACACTAACTCTCCATCAGGAGACGGACCCAAGGTAATCGGTCCGCAAATCGGTCCATGTGCAAATTCGTAATTTGCCTCAAACAAAGTGTGGGTGTGTTTAAAATAACTCGAAGTTGCGTGCTGACCTTGAATAATCAATTCAAGATTCATCTGGTCACCGGATGAGATTACTCGCACGGGACGAGGAATATTGTCACAGAAGCATGCCAATCGGTTCTGGTTTTTGTCTTTCTCTTCCCAAAGAATCAATTTATCCACTCGCTCCTCGTGACACCTAGTGCAAGCGGTCATAGCATAAGGTACCTCTTTGAACATAACCGACGATACCTCCACAACAACTCTGGAGTACAGCCTCCTATCCGTGACGAACTTGTACTGGCACCGGACATCGCTCCCGGCAGCTCGCTTGTATATCAGCGTGTTCCTTGGCGATCCCAACTCCCCTTTGCTGTACTTCCACGCGTAGAACACTTCATCACAAAGCGTATTCTGCACCGGATCACCATACTTGGAGTTGTTGAAGAAGTCGTAGTGAGCCCAGTAGTAGAGTGAGCTCCCACTGTAGGATCCCGTTTTGCTGAGGAATTTAACGTACAGCGATCGGCCAGTGCTCACGAAATCGATCTTCTCCATCGGCCGCGAAAAAGTGTCGCAGAACGTTTTGATGATCCGTGCTGGATCCGGGTGGTTGGCATCGTAGATGGTGAGTGATTCAGCACAGTCCTCTTCATGTTTGATAATGGGAGCTTCGATGCGGTTTATACGGAAACTGAAAAAAGAACAATGGGATGCTTTGAGTTGATTGAATAAGATTCTCAATTTTTAATAAGGTAGTGTTTTGATGATAGCAATAGATTACCTATTTAGTTGCTAAAAATAGAAAATTCGATCTAAACCCTACTTCTTGTTCTTCTTTGAGTATTACATCCTAACTAGAAATATATGCCTGCTCTCAACGTAGTGCTTTTGAGCATTTCCATAGTTGATAAATTCGGTCGGAAAATCTAATCCACTGTTGGCAATCAAATTTTCTGCATGAAAATGGATTCCAATCACCAAGTGTAACACAGTGAATCCATTTTCATGGCCATAAATTTGACTTTTAGGGTAAACAAAAATATCACAAATTCTGTCTTATTTATAATATAAACTTTATTCACATGGTAAAATTGCAATACTGCTATATTTGATTTTTGTCATTGTACAGTTTATAGATTCGCAATGCTTATTGTAAGCAGCTATAATTTTATTTAGTGGTCCAAATTTGGCATAATATTTACGATGATGGTTTGTAAACAACATACTTCGCTTTCGAAGTTTCCGAAAAGGTATATAAAAGCAAAGCATTGATAAGAGTTCTACTCAGTCAATACGATGTGAAACTATATAGTTTACAAATGAAACCATTCTTTTAATGTCTGGATGTTATACAGTGTGCTTAACCCTTCGTCTGTGCCAGAAAAAAAATACGTTGCCTGTACCTTCGGGCAAATTTGAACCAAATTCAAATTGTCATATCTCACGGATTTTTGTAATTTTAATGGACTTTCAGATAGAAGGGGAGGAGTCATTGTAGATAGGCGTATTTTGATGTTAGAGATGTTTATATCACGAAATCCCAACCATATAGGATGTTGCTTCCTTCTGCATAGATGTACAAAAATACAAGGTGGTAAAACGAAAATGGTCAAGTTGCGCCTTCGTAAATACACATTATATAACGCTATTTACAGATTTGACTCATATGAATGGTGTGGTGTACCTTTAAACTTCCATTTCCTACATTCCTTTCTACTTAACTTTAAACAACAATGTTTGGTCATCGTTTCCAAAACCTACTTCCAAGCACACAATGTGCTTACCAGTAAACTTACTTATTTCCTCATGCCACCACACCAGATGTCCACAACAAGGTCATAAGAACGTAAGCTACGACGGTCACTCATGCTCACGTAAGAATGTATGACAGAGCATGTGTAGAGAGAAAAAGATAATCGTACGATAAGCTAGGCGTAAGCATTCTCTTGAAGTGTAGCTGAAGTACTAGAATGTAAGATATAAAATATGAGTGGAATAAACAACTAGGGTGATTCTTGATCAATTCTTGTGTATAAATAGTCGTCACGTCCGAAACTCCAACTAATGGCTAATGGGGGCTAGCATAATGGTTCCCGTCTTAAGCGAAGTTGTTCAGATGGAAGGTTGTTTGTCTTTATTAAGGAGATTTTCAGCCAGACGCTGGTTCATCTCCGGCTTCAGATGGAAATACATAGCCTGAGGTAAAGATTTTAGTTCAAATTTCACTCACCAGGCAGCGCTAGTGTTACATTAATTTTGAATTGTGTGTCCTAAGTTAACATCTTGACTAGACAGAAGGTTTCCGTCTTCGACAAAGTTGTTCAGATGAACAAGAACTATTCTATGGTAAAGAGTTTACTTCAGGATTCACTCACCAAGCAGTGCTAGTGTGACATTCATTTTAAATTTTTTGTCCTTACTGAATATATAGGCGCCTTCGGCAAATTTGGTCTGATGAACATGATTGCCTTCTACGTTGGTTTTTTACTACGCCGGCTCTCAAATGTTCTAGATGTACGTCCATTGTTGTTAATTGAGAACTTTCTAAGCCTATCCCATATTTGCATTAGTATATTGTGTGGCAAATACAATCATTCTCTATGGCAAGGCAAGTCGAGAAATTTTGCAACCTGAAAAATTCTTAGACCGGGAAGTGAACCAAGCCACTTCCAGCATTATCATGATTTATAGCTGTGCCTTAACCGGCTAGGCTAAGAGAGACTCCAACGAACTAGACCTATTATATGGTAGAATCAGAATCACTCCTCTAGTGTGAAATTAGTTTTTACTTGTTTTCCCTAGTCTTGTGAAGGTAAAGGTATACTGCAGTACATTTAACATTTTTTAGCGGTACCTACAACAATCCAAATGAAACTTAACTGTAGCGTTTCAAAAATGTTAGTACATTTCTAAATTGTTTTTATTAGACTATGATTTTTGCACATAATAGAAAACTAGATCAAGCTCTGTGTGCGACACAGTTTTGTATAGTATTGAATTCTGCTGTTTTCTGGCTAATTACTGCATATATTTGAAGTTTATGGTATGGAGTCAATAAACGCAAAAATATAAACAAAGTAACGCACTAGCGTAACCTAAGTTATTATGATTACCATATAACAGAAACCTTCTATATAGAAAAGGTGTCAAGTGAGTCCAAAACAACTTGAAAGAACGTGAAGCAACAGTGCGAACTGATGAGTTAATTCTGAGATAAACTGTTTGCCATAGAATAGGTCTAGCCAACATTACCGAAGACGGGAGCCTTCTATCTAGTCAAGATGTTAAGTAAGGTCAAACAATTGAATATAAATGTCACGCGAGTGCCACATGGAGAGTGAATTCTGTGCTGAACTCTTTACCTTGTACATCTGAACATATTTGCCCAAGACGGAAACCTTCTATCTAGTCCATATGTTAAGTTAGCGCAAACAATGAAAAATTAATGTCACACTAGCGTCGCCTGGTGAGTTCATCTTGAACTTAATTCTTTACCTTAGGGTTGGTCTTGTCCTTCTGAACAACTTTACCGAAGACAAAACCTTCTATCTAGTTTGATTACAGCAAACAATTCAAAATGAATGTCACACTAGCACCACCAGGCGAGTAAATTCTGAGTGGATCTCTTTACCATAAAATAGGTCTTGTTTATCTGAACAACTTTGCCCCAGACGGGAACCTTCTATCTAGTCAAGATTTTAAGTTAGGTCACTCAATTCAAAATTAATGTCTCACTAGTGCTGCCTTGTGAGTGCATTTTGAACTACCTCAGGATAGGTCTTATCCATCTGAACAACTTTGCTGAATACGGGAACCATTCATGTGAGCCGGACCTGTAAATAGCGTTATATAATGTGTATTTACGAAGGCGCAACTTGACCATTTTAGCGCCATCTAGTGAGTAAACTATCAGTAGTTTTGAAATCCTTGTATTTTTGAGCATCTTTGCAGAAGGAAGCAACATCCTATATGATTGGGATTTCTAGATATAAACACCTCTAACATCAAAATATGCCACTTCATGGGTATATTTTTACAATGACTGCTCCCCTTCTATCTGAAAGTTCATTAAATTTACTTAACATATAACATGTGAAGATTCATAAATCCGTTGGACCTTCGCTGAGATATGACAATTTGAATTTGGGTTAAATTGACCCGAAGGTACAGGCAACCTATTTTTTTGGGACAGCCGAAGAGTTAAGCACGCTGTATTCTCATCAACATCCAGACATGAAAAGAGCGTCGTGAATTTGGAATGGTTTCATTTGTAAACTATATAGTTGGCGAGATGGACTAACTATGGTCATACTATGGATCTACAAATAGCATTATATAATGTGTATTCAAGAAGTCGTTACCAGGTCATTTTCGTCTTAGCGTTATCTAGTGAGTGTATTATGAACAAAAATCTTTTGAAATTTCGTTATAACACGCCAATTTGAATTTGGGATCAAATTAACCCCAGGATACAGACAACGTAAGTATTTGATTTAATTTTTTCCATTACAAAGTTCCAGTTAATGCTATTAGTTAATAATATGGAAATCCAAACTAATTTACGAAGATCAAATCAAGAGCAAATTTTCATTATGTCGTAAGTAACATTCGCACCAATCCGAGAAAAATAAAGTTTTGTTTTGATGACCGAAAAGTTATTCCTATTTCCAAGTAAACACATATAATCTCATAGTGATAGCAATGTTTAACATATTTAGCAGGGTTTTAATCATACAAATGCAAATCGCTAGCTTTCATGCTAAAAAATACTGGTTTTTGAGTCAAAAGTTATTATACGTCGTTTGGTGGCCCCTATTGTTACTTAAGTCAAAGTGTATTTACCAGGATATTCGGGAGCATTATCAATTACGTCTCCTTACGTGCAGCCCATTCATCAGTTTAGGACCACTGACATCATCTTAGCAACAAACAGTTCGATTTATTCACTTTAATAATGAGAAAGCGAAACGACGAACGTACACTTTTCACGGGTTTCTCAGCGCTGTTACTTAAGTCAAACGGCATCTCCATAGAAATTGGGTGACTTAAGTAACATCGAAAACTATTTTGATCGGAAGGTGATTACGTCAAAAAGCAATTTGACTGGTAAATAAATTTAAAAATGGGATTTGATCCTATATTCGGACAGTATATAGTGTAACAGCAGGAGAATCGATTGACACTGATAGCTCGACTTTGTTTACCTTTGTTACATTCGACGTAATGAAAATTTGCTCTTGAAATAATAAGAATTGAGGGGGTTAGAAGGAAAGGGGTGTAAGTGACTTTGATCGATTCTCTTCATCAGCTTTCGTTAATAATTTAGCTGCAAACACATTCCTTGATTCGTGTGCCATTCTGGATACTAGATGAGAACCTCCTTTATCAAACTATGTGGCAGAAATAGCGCAAAATCTGTTTATAAAACTGTGGCTATCAATAGAGAAAGTCGACGAAGATAATCGATCAAAGTCACTCACACCCCTTTCCTTCTAATCCCCTCAATTTATGTTGTACTGAATCTAATCGTTCTTTATGCATAATCGAAAAAGGCGAACAAACTATGCTGCAATATTTCAATATTTGCTTTGTTGATAATTGTATTGCAATCTTTTTTTTCTTTGGTTTGTTTTCCGTCGATCTTGTTTTCCGTGCTGAGCACCATTGCTACCAACGTGCCAGGAAGGCAGC